TGACTCGGACAATACACAATCCAACATGTTCAACAGAAGATAATCAGTAATATTGTTTGTACACATGGTACTTTACATATATATATGTTTGTTTAAGGTGTCCAGGTGATGCAGACAGGCTGGACCAGAGAGTGAGAGACAGAACTGGACTCCTCACAGCAGTGAACTTCAGCACAGGTACAAATACTATCTTTTCATACTGTACAACGAATCAAGAAAGATATTGGTTTAAATAAATGAAGTATTGACTTTAATACACTGATATACATTCCATTAAACAATACTAAATACTAGATCACCTACACATCAGTTGAGTTGAGGGTTTTTTCCATGCAAAAAGTTACATTTAGATATTTAACACATAGTGAGAACTGCTACTATTTATCTCTCAATATTGTCTGTAAAAACGTGGTTATTCTTTCAGTGAGACAACAGAGCAAGCTTCTACAGTTGCACTACGTTTTGATAACAGTTCAATATTATTTTGATAATAAAATATATTTCAATGTTAATGAATTTCATACTGTTCATTCATAATCTGATTACAATTACAATAATTATATCAACAGCCCCTAAACACACAAACACACCTCTTTCATAAATCACACACTTGTTCTGCAATAATATGTTTTATGTTTCCTGTCATTTTTTTTAGGAAAGGACATGCCTGAAAGACATGACTCAGCATCTTCTCTTTCTAAGAGGGTCAAGAAGAACATCCAAGAGGAACATTAAAAGCTGATGTTATGAGATTTTAAGTCCAGTACAGGACATTCACTAAGAAACTACTTTTATTGTGAAAACAAAGATCTGCCCACCGAATATTTTTGTAGTCTATCAGGACCATCATTTGTTTGTGACGCTGCCTGCACCTCAGAGAAGGGGTGGTTATAGTCAGGCTTATAAAGTGTTGCATCCCATCAGCTGACTGTTTTTCGCATCTATTTCCACATCTAAACTCCATCAGCTGATTATTTCTATTTGCCTCGCTTTATGAGCTTCACAAAACTTGTGCCTTGTACCGCAGAGTTTGCAACCTCACAAATAAATGGGGCCAATCTTCAGTCAGATGTGAATGTGTAATCTAAAATTTTCAGTAAGAATAATTGACAAAAGGAGTGCAAATACAAATTCAATTTATTGAAATGTGAACCAAAAGTTAATCAAACATGTTTTAAATAAAAAGCACATATGTACAGAAGGTGGAAACCTATTAAATGTATAAGTAAACACATTTAGTCAAATAAAGTGACAGACTAGGCCTGTGCAGTTGGTATCAGCTATGCCCAGCATGGGCTCCTCCTTCAGGCCTGGTCCTCCTCGCTGAGGAAAGACCCTCAGTCCTCTCCAAACCAACAGACAGGACTTCCATCAATCAGAGGTTTCTCCCTCAGGGTTCTTACACCTTTTCCAAAGTCAAATTCAAGCACTTTTCAAGCATTTTCAAGGTGCATTTGTATGGCGTAGAGCAGTGGTTCCCAACCTGTGGGCCGCGGCCCCCTGGTGGGCCGCGAAGGTATTGCAAGTGGGCCGCCAAATCTTTTCCAAAATAGTATGATTTTTGTGGGGGGGAAATCAGATAAAAATATACAGAATAATATTTAAAATGATATAAAAAATGTAATTATTCTTTTCATCATTGCATTTTTCCTTAAAATATTAGATATGTGACGAGCAGAGAGATAGGAACATTTGTTGTAATCGGCCGGACTACTTTGCTGCGGGACCGGCGGGACAGCTCTGCACTTGATTGATGCTGATTGTGTAAACTGTAATTAAGTTAGATTACAGTTTACACAATCAGCATCAATCAAGTGCAGAGCTGTCCCGCCGGTCCCGCAGCAAAGTAGTCCGGCCGATTACAACAAATGTTCCNCAACCAGATGACTGACTGACTGGCTGGCCAGGTGACCATTCTCGAAACGATTTCAGAATCTCAACCGTTCTGACAAAGGGGTACAAGCAGAGTTCAGCTGTCATTTAAGCCATAAATGTCCGGCAGATGTATCTTCCACAAACATTAACATTGAATCGTGGCTGTCAGCATGCATGTCACCGGGCTTTGATGTGAAGGTGGTGCGGCTGACAGGAAGGAAGAGAAAAGGGGATAAAAGAAGGCAGAATAGAGAATGGGAAGCCCTCAAGGAACCGTCACGAGTTCTCCAGAGTTGTGCAAGGGAAACTTTACTCCAGCGTTATCTTGTTAAGTCATTGAAGGACACCAGACGAGTGAACAGAGTTGACTCCAGCACAATTTCCTCTTTGTGGCGACATGTATCAACAAGGGCATAGCTCCCTATATTCGGCATTAACTACCTCTCAGGCCTCCCACTGTGACAAATGGCCTCTGTCTCTTCTAATGTAATATTTGTTTCTGCTTCTGAGAGCCTCTCGGTGAGTCTGTCTGCCGACTGCTTCATTCTGTTAACCGACTTTATTCCCCGACCGGCTGTCAATTGGCCAACCGTATGAGTGTTCCCGTCCGTCTGTCTTTTGTATCAATGCCTGCCCCCTTCTCCCCCTCCCCCCTCTCCCAAGCTTTCCACTGTTCCCTCGTCAACTCTTAGCTCTGTCTCGCGCTCACCATTCCTCTGCCTCCCTTGTGCACTCTGTCTGTCTTCTCCTACTCTTCCATCCAACTCCCCCCTCCTCTCTCTCTCTCTCTCTCTCTCTCTCTCTCTCTCTCTCTCTCTCTCTCTCTCCACTTTACCGCTGTGTCTTTGCTCCAGATGCTAGCTGTCTCAGCTCCTTGGGCCGCGTCTCAGTGATGGGCCCCTCCAGGAATTCAAAGCACCATTCTGGCATTTTCTTCCGAGCAATTGCTTTTTGCAGTAATAAAGGGGGAGTAGTTTTAGCATCTCTCTCTGAATGGACTTACTGGCCCCAAGCAAAACATGCACAAGTGCACATCCGTGAATCCTCTTGAGGCAGGAGCACACCGCAGGACTCTGTCCGGACTGCGACCCAATTAAGCCGTCGCACATAATTTACAGCACCGGTCTCAAGGACGTAGCATTAATCACTTTTTCTTTGTCAAAGACTCCGAATGAGGCTACTGAATCTTAAATACGGACTTTTTCGTTTTAATAAGGAACACCTGAATCGTTTCACACAAACAATGTTTTTCTTTGACAGTGACCTGTTGAGCCCCGCAGTCATACACCACTAACAAGATGATATGTAAATATTATACTTGCCGTTTTAATGGTAATTAAAGTCACATTGACACCCAATTAATTCACGATAGGACACGGAGCATTTAAGGTGCAATTAGCCATGGAGGCGGACACGGCGATAGCGCCTAACTGCAAACTCGAAACTCTCACATTAGGTAAATGCCACTGCTTATTAGCATGCTATTATGCCATGTTTTTTTCTTTTCTTTTTTCAACAAGGTGAAGGTAGACGAAACTGGCAACACAGGAACACAAACAGAGAAAGAAAAACAACAGAGGAGAGGATGAATTGAGACAAAGAAGTCTCTTCTAATGCAACTTTTACTACATCCCAGTG